CTGCACAGACACAGGCAGCTTGATACACCAGGCCTGTGATCTATCTACTGCAAGAGGTAGAAATGAATCTCTCATCAGATGAAACTCTCGCAACACAAATCAGAGAAAATTTGAACTGCTGATTTGAATCGGAAATGCAAGCCACCCGAATGTGACAAGGACCAAAAAGCATGAGACTGAACAGTGACTCATTTTACCAGGAAGAAATACTCAAGTTGGGCTTCCCTTTTCAGCCCAAACTTGGGTCTAAGTAATTTGATCTAAAGCCTTTCCGAATTTTCCAGGAATTGCCTCAAAATCACACACAGGCCTTTTGGAGTTCTGGTCCCTGAATTCATTCATGACAAAAAAAAGATTTCTGTGCTGTACTCCATGCTATCACCATCCTTACTTGTTGGGGATTCAATGTAGAATACACAGACAAAAATCTCTGTCTTTGGGAGGTGGGTGCAGAGCAATAATACAGTGCGTAGGGCACTTGCCTTCCATGCGGCAGGTCCAGGTTCAATCCCCAGCACTCTATATGGTCCCCTGAGCTCCTGCCAGGAGTGATCCCTGAGTGCAGGGCCAGGTATAAAGCCAGAGTACTGCCAGGTGTGGCAACAAAACAAACACACAGAAAAAAGTCTTCAAGAAACCCCTATTCTAGGACAACAAGGAGCTAAACAAGTCAACTTGAACAATGAAATCTCAGTAGACAAGTTCTCTGAAGAAACAGAAGCCTGTGAAGTGGACAGAGCGTGAGGGGCTAGCAGAGAAGGGCAGGTTGTTTTTGAAATGATGGGCAGGAAAGACTGCAAAGTGACAGCATCTGTGCAGAGAGTTGAAGGACGGTATGATCAGGAGGCCACCCTAGGAGCGTGTCCCAGGAAGAGAAAGCAGAGGAGGGGCAGGTGGAGGCAAGAACAAGTCTGACCTGTCCGAACCCTAACACCCAGGCCAGGGAGGCAAGTGGCACTTGGAACGGGAGAGAGCTGAAGTCAGTGAGGTAGGTGGGGTCAGATCACGGACTCCAGGATACAACCAGTGTTCTGCCGAATGCTGACAGCCACACTGGGCGCGTCTGAGCTTGGGATTTTGTTCTCTCGTGCACATGTCGGAGATCACTGGCTCCCAAGTGTGATGTGGAAAGCTAGTGGAGATTAAGACTGGGGAGGGCGTGAGGGCACCAACAGGAGATTGTGAAAACAGGAGACCGATGAGGAAGCGACTGCAGGGGTGTGAGCAAGGGGCCTCTGGCTTGGCTCGGGTTGCTAAGTGGGAAGATGAAGCGAGGGAAAAGTGATTGGACTCAGGAAACATGTTGGTAATAAGCCAACAAGTCTGGATGAAGGATCAGAAACTGGTCTGAAGAGACAGAATCACAAAAACTTCTCTTGTCCTGAACAGCTGGCAAATAAGAAAGGAATATCCAAGACATACTATGTGGAAGTAAATTTGAGGGTGAGGAAATAAGAAGTCATAAGCTCTACTAAATTCTTCACCTCTTCAATCATCAACAAGTCTGTTTAGGAAAGAGTCTGTAGCTCAGAGGCAGGGGAACTGGAACACATATTTAAGGGACCCTCAATAATACCCAACTGGGCTGGAGAGATAGCACAGTGGCTAGGTCACTTGTCTTGCACATGGGTTCAATCCCTGGCATCCCATTTGGTCCCTTGAGTACTACCAGGAGTGATTCCTGAGTGCAGAGCCAGGAGTAACCCTTAAGCACTGCTGGGAGTGCCCCCTGACCCCCCAAAATCTGTAACTACAAGACTAACCACACAGCATTAGAAGGGGCAGCTAAGGAAGAAAAAGGAGAAGGCAGCTGGTGGTGTTGGAAGGGCTTTGATAAAAGGACCTGGTGCTAAGGCCAGAGAGATAGTTCAGTGGGACGGCATGTGCCTTGCACATGGCTGACAGGGATTTCAAGTCCCGACATCCTACATAGTCCCCTGAACCTCTGAGCACAGAGCCAAGAACAAGTCCTGAGCACTTCTGGGTGTGACCCCAAAACAAAACAAAGAAACAAAAGTAGCTGGACCAACAGAGAAGACCGAGAAGGAGCAGTGAGCATGGCCAGAAAAACCCAAATCAAGAGAGAAGGTGTTCCAAAGATGGAAGGAGTACTGAACTCACGAGACAGCACCAGAAAAGAACAATTCCCCTGGTGGATTTGGCAAGGTGGAGGCCCAGTCAGCAAAGCAATGAGGACAGGTGACTGCATACTGGGAGCCCACTAGCTGCAGCAGAGACAGTGGGAAAGTGGAGGATACACTCCACCAGGCACTTCTCCCAAGGAGTTTTATGGGAAAGGGGTTGTGGGGAGAGTGGGTGCAAGGAGACTGTAGCTAGATGGGGTATAGAATCAAAGGAAATGTGTTTATTTGGGAGTTTTTTGTTTGTCTTTTAGAGTCACACCCAGCAATGTTCAGGGGTTACTTACTCCTGGCTCTGCACTCAGGAATTACTCCTGGGTGTGCTCGGGAGACCATATGGGATGCTGGGGATCAAACCCAGGTTGGTCCCATGCAAGGCAAATGCCCTCCCCATTATATTATCACTCTGGCCCCTGTTTGTTTTAAAAAAGAGGTATCACAACCTAGCTGAATGGATTATGAAGATGCAGTATATATACACAAAGGAATACCATGCCGCTGCAAGAAATGATGAAATCATGCAATTTGCTGCCATGTGGCTGGAATTGGAAGAGATGGTGTTGGGTGAAGTAAGTCAGAAGAATAAAGACAAGCATAGGATGATCTCACTTATTCTACATACTGGATTATGAAACGCGTAGTAAAAAGGATGTCTAGATCACCCTTGACCCCAGTGTTTAGAGAGAAGAAGAACAGAGAAGGAAAGACATTGAGGCGGGAAGAAGAGAACGGGGAGAAACAGGTAAACAGGCATCAGGGCTTCAGTTATACTGGTGATATGGGTGAAGGGCATAACCATGGATCCAAACACAGGCTCAACAATACTGAAAACAGGAGACCTAAGCTGCAACCCTGAAACTTTGTAATGTGCCTGTCAAGTTGACAGGCGGGGGTAGTGTGGGGGTAAAGGTGGGTGAGGGGGGGTACAGGAACACTGGCAGAGGGAAGTTGACACCGAGATTGGTTTTGAAATATGATACGCCTAAAACTCAACTATCAATAACTTTGTAAATCATAGTTCTTAAATTTTTTAAAAAAGAGGTATTACCACATTCTTGTTCAGGGTTGAGACTCATTCGATACTGGGAATGTCTGGGCGTGAAGGGAAGGGAAGGGATCCAACACATCCATGTGGGGCAGAGGGGAGGATCACCTTCGGAGATGCCAGATGGTTCCGCAGGCAGGAAGCAATCGGAGATTCAGGAGTGGGGAGTCCTTCCCTGATTACTTCTTATTTCTCAAGGAAGTAAGAAACAAGAACCTAATGCTCTGAGGATTAACTTGATGAGTCCTGTGGGGTGTTACCAATTTGAGAAAGTGAGAACAGGAGTGAAAAATGAATTTTCTAGGGGACTCCAGTGGGACCGTCACCTATTCTCCCTCATCGTAAAGACGAGCTTCCTAAAATGTGGGCTATGACCCACATAGAATCGGGAAACAAAATGTGGGGATGGCGATGTTTGAAGGGCTAGAGGAACAGCTCAATGGACAGAGCACAGGCTTTGCGTGGAGCAGATCCCGGTTTTATCCCCGAGCAGAGCAACAGTAGGGCCGAAACACCACTCAGTGGTGCCCCACCCCAAAAAACTGTCTTTGCAATTATCAGTGAACATTTTACTTGTGTGCCTATTTTTAATACATATAGACTTAAAATGCTTCTAGGCCATGTGGCAGTTTTGTGTACAAAAGGCTACTGAATAGAAAGTTTAAGAAACCCTGTACAGAGGGACCGCTATGACAATGACAGTAGAAAATGATCACTCTGGACAAAACCTGAGTGCTGAAAGGAGGTAAAGGGATATACCTGATAACCTTTCAGTACCTGCATTGCAAACCATAATGCCCAAAAGGAGAAAGGGGGAGGGAGGGAGAGAGAAAGAGAGAGAGAGAAATAGGGAGAAAGAGAGAGAGGGAGAGAGGGAGAGAGAGCGAGAGCGAGAGAGAGCGAGAGCGAGAGCGAGAGAGAGAGAGAGCGAGAGAGAGAGAGAGAGAAAGTGCCTCCTACAGAGGCAGGCGGGGGAGAAGGGCTGGAGGGAATCTGGAGAAACTTGTGGTGGGAAATGTACCCTAGTGAAGAAATGGGTGTTGGAACATGATATAACTGAAACCCAATCATGAACAACCTTGTAACTGTGTATCTCATTGTGATTCAATACAAAATATTTAAATAAATAAAAATTTTTTAATTAAAACCAATAAAAAATAATTTTCTTAAAAAGCTCTGGATAAACTGGCAAGAGAATAAAAAATGTGCTACTGAGAAAGAGTAACAGGAAAAATTCTTGTCAAGTATATAGTATTTCGAATATCCAGAAGAAATTTGACCAACTCATACAAACTGTCCAGATATAACCAGCCTTAATATTCTATTTCAAGTCTTTTTTTTTTCAGAAATAAGATATTGGGGGCCAGAGTTATAGTAGGACATTTGCCTTGCATGCAGCTGACCCGGGTTCGAACCCCAGCATCCCATATGGTACCCTGAGCACTGCCAGGAGTGATTCCTGAGTGCAGAGCCAGGAATAATCCCTGAGCATCACAGAGTGTGACCCAAAAAAGCCAAAAATATAAGAAAGAAAGAAAGAAAGAAAATATTGTAGTCACAGTTGCACGTTTCCAATTCCATGTCCTTCGCAGATGGACATGGACATTTTCTTCCCCTGCCTGGAGTCCTGCCAAGTCAGGAATCAAATCCAGAGTCTCACTCATGCAAGCTCATTCTGTATCACTGGGCCACATCCCTGCCCTTCTTCCTCCTTCCTCCACCACATCAGAAAGTTGCCGTGCTCCCTTGTATCCCAGCATGCCTACAGCTCGATGGTGACTTCATGGACCTAGAATCCACGGCTCAAGATTTACCTGTTATCGGGGTCGTCAGAGAGATGACCACAGGAAGTTTAGATGACAAAGCCTGGATGCTGACACTGTAGTTGGTACCCGGACGCAGAGTCAAACACACCTCGGGGGTCTGGCTGCTGGCGCTGATGTTGAAGATCATTTCCTGGGCAAATTCTTTCTGATACCATCTCTGACCCTGAACGTGGAACTGAAACACAGAAAGTTTGGTGGGTGAATTGTCCACGTTGGAAAGGCTCTCGGTGTCTGAATGCTTACCTCTTCCAAGGAGTTCTCTTGCTCTCAACTGAAAAGATCCTCCAAGAAGTGAAGCGCAGGGCCAGGAGAGAGCACGGCATGCCTCTCGAGCACCTGACCAGGGCTCCGTTCTCAGCATCACATGGTTCCCCAAGCCTGGCCCAGTACAGCCCTGCCAGGGTATCCCTGGTGCTGTAGAGTCTGAGCTGGCATTGCATCTTGGGACCCTTGTACTCAACCAACAGCCTGGTTGACTGAGAACCCCCAGCGGGTCCCAAGGCCCCTCTTGAGCACCACATAGTATGCCCTTCCCCCCAAAAGCAAAGTGTAACAGTAAAACAATACTAGTTATAATATTATAAACACTGTTGTCATGATTTATCAACATAATACAAGACATTTGCAAATTAAGATGCACATGAGGCCAAGGCCCCAAAGCTGGTGACTTTCTCTTCCTAGTTTCACATGGCCGATGCGTGTGTGACACACGAGACCTACTGACAAACCTGCAGGAGCAGGGCCAAAGGAGGACATCTTCCTAGAAAGAAAATGACATAACTAGACAGCAATTTCACCTCATTTAAAATTGGTGGTAGTCGTCCAAAGGACACTACTTTTTACACTTTTATAAAACTCTGTCCTGATTTTTAAATAAATTAAAGATCTCAATATATCCCACAGAAAATCCCTCCTCTTCCTGACTCCTCCAGACTCCCCATTGCCCCAGCCCACCTGCATGACCCGACTCCAATAACTGCACACATGCCTATCTGCATGGTGACACACGCACTTCTCTATGACGTCCCAGCACCTGGCCATCAGATACAATCTCTGTCCTATTGAATGTCCTGCAGGGGCAGTTCACCCCAAGCCTTGCCCTTCCTGACACCTGGCCCTGTTCAGCTGCTGGGATTCCCGTTCCTAGTCTAAGCCATGGGTTTCAGCCCAAGTCCACAAACCCTTGAAGGCTGCAGCCCACCACTCGCGGCGACACACTGGGCCCCAGCATAGAGGAACTCAAGAGCGACAATCACCGGGTCCTCTGCCTGGACACCCACCCTGTAGCCCACGGCAGGTATGCAGAGGATCTCTTGGCTTCCCCGCGGCCCCCAAGGCTGCTGTCTCCAAACGGGCAGCACAAAGGCCCGTTTCCGTTTCTTGATGCTACTGTCACACGCATTTTCCATTCCTAATGGCAGCTCAGTGAACAGACTTTGAGGCTTGCTGATATTCTTTAAATCCCCCACACAAAGCACATCTTGTCAAGGGTATGGCTGTGAGTGACTTACTAAATACATCTCCTGGAGACCAGCTGTCTTCCTATGTCTCCACCGCAGGCAGGTGTCATTGAATACTGAGATGTTGCTGATTGGCTGTTCGACTGCAGGAGAAAAGGAGGCAGAGACCAATGCATACTTTACTTAAAAATACAGCCTCTCATTAAACCATTATCTAAGGACAAGCAGCTACATAAGGATGATTTCACCAGCTTTCTCATTTCATTCCAAAGCAGTGGCAGTAGCTTAAAAGACATTACTTTTACGTTGTTATAAACTCAGTCCTTAAAAAAAATAAAAAACTCTGCAAAATATTCCATTAGAAAAATCACTCTTGATAGACATTTGTGGAATATCACTGTGACTGTCCTCCCGTTGTTCATCGATTTTCTTGAGCGGGCCCAGTAACGTCTCCATTGTGAGACTTTGTTGTTACTGTGTTTGGCATATCGAATACATCACAGGGAGCTTGCCAGGCTTTGCCATGCGGACGAGATACTCTCGGTAGCTTGCCGGGCTCTACAACAAGGGTGGAGGAATAGAACTCGGGGTGGCCATGTTGGCTGTGTGCAAGGTGAACACCCTACCTGCTGTGCTATCACTCCAGCCCTTGTGGAATATAAAATAGCATAATGAGACCAACACCCAAGGACAGTAGACACAAGGGCCAGGAATATTGCCCCATTGTTGGAAGCCTGTCTCATGAGCTGGGGGAGAAGGCAGCTGGAATAGAGAAGGGATCACTAAGACAATAGTGGTTGGAGGGATGGGTCAGGATGGGAGATGTGTGCTGAAAGTAGATAAAGGACCAAACGTGATGACCTTTCAATATCTGTATTGCAAACCACAATGCCCCAAAGTAGAGAGAGAGTATGGTGGACATTGTCTGCCATGGAGGCAGGGGAGGGTTGGAAAGGGGCGGGGCGTCTACTGGGGACACTGGTAGTGGAGAATGTGCACTGGTGGAGGGATGAGTGTTTGATCATTGTATGATTAAAGCTCACACATGAAAGCTTTGTAACTATATCTCATGGTGATTCAATAATAAAAAGAAAAAAATCTTTCTTAAGAGCCACTGAGTCCCAGGTCGACGGCTCACTGGGCCGGAGCTCATGTTTTGCATGTGAGCGTCCCTCCAGCTCCACTGGGAACCTTCCCCAGGAAACAGGTTGGGGGCAGCCCCTGAGCCCCACCAGGCTTAGCCCCAAACCAAATAAAATAAAATACCAAGGTCCTTAAAGGGCAGAAGTCACTCAAGGAGCGCACGCAAAACAGAGCAAAGGCCCTTCCCTCTCCCCCACACCCCACCCCTCCTCCTCACACCCCTTCCTCAGGCTCCTCTATAGAAAATAAAAGCGATTTAAATATAATCCCTGCAAACTCGCTTGGTTTTCTTAACTAAAGTTGAACTCATTGTCCTGGATTTGGACAACCCCATTTACATAAATACATGTTCGTTGAAAATTTTGAGCTGAGAGTTGCCCTCAGCAGAGACTAGAGAATATCCCCCTGGAACTCGGAGGGTCTCGGGCAGTGAGGCGTTTCTCCAGGAAAGGCAGGGGGTGTCTCCCTTGGCCTGGGTCTCCTCGACTCTTACAATCAAAGCAAACTTTGTTGGCCTCAGCTCAACTTTCAGGTAATCAATTCCAAAGTTGGGTAGCTCAGACCTAGGACAGGTTAATAAAGAGGAACACATTGCCTCCAACTTTTAAAAATATAAACGACTCATTCAAAACCCTAATGCCAAAGGTTACTTCCTTCTCTAGAGATCCCTGTTTCTAAGCTGGAAATCATGTAGCAGAATTACTAAGACATTTCCTAAGAACACTGATGATTCATCAGTGATAAGGACAACTCCCCAAACTGCTTTTTCAAAAATGAGTCTCAAGGCGGGAAGAGCCCGGGTTGTGTAAGCCCCTGTCTGACAGGTTCCTGTGAATGAAGTCAAGCTGGTAGCTGTGACCCACTCTCTCTGGAATTGGCTTTGCACAAAGAAGACCTGTTCCACAGGCCACAAGCTTTCCTTCCAGTGTTGCAAGGCAGAAAGGCAGGGCAGCGCCCCAAAACAGAGGTGACTCAGGTCATGCAACCTCACTACTGGGTGCAGAAGATGATCTCAGGGCCAGAGCCAGCTCGGGGGGCAGGGGGAGGGGGGCGGAGATATATGTCCTGCAGGTGTGAGGAACTGAGTCTGGTCGCCAGTACCACACTGCTGGGTGGAGACACGGAGGGCCCCAGCAGCCCTTAGGACAGTGGCCCCTGTGGACAACTGCACCACTGGGCCTGACCTAGCATTGAACTGCTGACCCAACAGACGGAGTATTCCAGGAAGCCGATGCCCAGTCTCCTGAGCACTGCTTGGGAGCTTCCCCACCACCATCACCACTACCATCACAGAAAAGTTGATTTAAAAAAATCAGCAGTGGGGCTGGAGAGATAGCACAGTGGGTAGGGCATTTGCCTTGCATGCGGCCGACCCGGGTTCAATTCCCAGCATCCCATATGGTCCCCTGAGCACTGCCAGGAGTAACTCCTGAGTGCAGAGCCAGGAGTAACCCCTGTGCATCGCCAGGTGTGACCCAAAAAGCAAAAAAATAAATAAATAAATAAAAATAAAAATAATTAATTAATTAACAGTGATCCAAGGGACCCCACACTTTAGTAACTTCCCAAAACCACATAACTCAATACTACCTGAACAGTTCCAGACTAGGGAGAAAAGGTGGAAAGTTTCCCAACTCATCCAATATCACTGTATGAGGGTGGTACAACCAATCACCAAAGGCACTTATTAATATAAATCCAAAACCCCAAATAAGGTATTAGTAAACAGAAGCCAGTAGTACACTTTTTAAAATGATCTATTATTTCCAAGGAATATTGGCCAAGAATCATGGTCAGGAGCCCAGAGCTCACATGCTGGGGAGTACCCCCGCCCTAACCCCAGTGAAAGAAAGACTGATTACCGAAAACCACCACACTTCGTGGAGAAGCAATGAAGCAGTTTCTAGTCAAGGACACTGAAAGGATGAATGGTCCCAGAGCCTGGAGATGCTAATATAAGGCGGAAGAGGCAAGGAAAAATAAGTTTTGAATGCCAAGAAGAAGGGGAAGAAGTGATGCAACTGCCTGCAAACCTGAGTTTCTTGGATTGCTCTCTAAAAGTAAAGTAAAAGTAAAGGCCCTCCCGTTGATCATCGATTTGCTTGAGCGGGCCCTGCTCAAGCAAAATCCATTGGAGATTTTGTTGTTACTGTGTCTGGCATATCGAATACTCTCGGTAGCTTGCCGGGCTCTCCGAGAGGGGCGGAGGAATCGAACTCGGGTCGGCCATGCTGGCTGCGTGCAAGGCAAATGCCCTACCGCTGTGCTATCGTTCCAGCCCTAGAGTGCTCTCTAGAGCTAAAAATATAACTAAGACACTGTTGTGAAGTAACAGGAAAGGGAAAATGAAAAATAACAAGAGTCTGGCAAAATGTAGCCAGCTACAGGAAGAGACAGAAACGTCTGTTTTTTAGCTGAGGCCCGAGAAACCACCCAGTTTCAGGGCTAATCTCAGAGAGATGCGGGCAGCTGAGTTTTCCTGGGAAGGCCCAAATCTCTGGACCCTGGGGGCAGACCAAAGGCCCAGCACTCCACCCACCCACACCTGGCTCCCACCACAGCCAGAGACTTAGCCCAGCTTCAGGTCTGATCTCAGAGAGTCACCTGCAGTTGATCATCCCAGCACCGAAATCTCTGAAGCGCAACAATTCCAAACTTCACAGAGCTGACAGCCCAGGAGAAAAAAGAAAATTAGATGGGAAAATTGAGGAGAAGCCCAATAAGCTCAGTGAGTGGAAACATTAACACAGAAGGCCCAATTCGCACCTAACAGCTCAGTAAATCCTCAGCCCATGACTTTAGCAACACCATTTCGAGGCCTATGCTGTACTAAGCAATATAAAGTAAATTAATTAATGCCTGCGGAAGGAGCAGCCTTTCGGGGAGGAAACTGGGACACCGGTGGGGGTAAGGGCACACTGGTGGCACTGGACTGGTGCAGGAACATTCAATGCCTGAAACAAATGTATTGTGATCAACTTTGTAAATCACAGTATTTAAATAAGATTTTAAAAAAGAAATAAGAAGAAATGCGTCATTTTCTATGCATCTTCAAGAACAAGCAGAGTAGGCTAAATAAGAGTGTCCCAAAGATGTCCAAGCTCTCTTCCCTGGAACCCCTAGGTGGGTTACTTTACATGTGGTGGAACAGAGCAACGGTGATTAAGAAAGGCCCATTATCCTGGATTACCCAGAAGGGTCTCGGGTAATGACAAGGGTTCTTGAGAAAGGGAGACGAGATCAGGTTCAGAAAAGAAAAGATAAAAGGGCGAAAGCAATGGTCAAACAGAAGGGACCACAAGGCAGGCAAACAGTGGGATTCGTACAACAGGTTCCAAGAAACTGAGGGGTGAATGGGGCAGAACAAAAGATGTTTTCATCCTCTCAGACTGGATGGAAATGAGTTTGACCTGAGAGCCCCCAGAATGAAACAAAGGCCTGCTAAGGCCTTGATTTTACCAATGGAAATGATTCTGATCCTGAGAGAAAGTCCATTTTGATACGTAGAAATAAATTTAAATATATATATATAGAGAGAGAGAAAGAATTATGAGAACAGCAAGAAACAAAACATAGAAAATATTGAAAGAGGACAAGTCAGGTATCAGTATCCGTAATAAAGCTGCCACTGGGTTTATCAACTTTTTTCATAATACTCCCACAAACAGCCTTCTGAAACATTTTTTCTCCTATCCTTATCTTCTATGGAGTTTTAGTAGCATGAATATGGGGTATTTTTTATGTATTGATACAATCGATGTTTCATACATTAATTTTTTTTAACCTCTACTAAAACAAAGTTTCAGGGCAGAGATGTAGCTCATTGGTATAGAGCAGCTGCCTTGATGTATGAGGCCCTGAGTTTGATCCCTGACACAGCCCAAACAAAAACCATCTTGCCTCTTTGTGGGTGATATTGCCCTTCTAGAGATGAAATAACCCCCACCGAGTATACAAGAGTAACCAGTACAATATCATTACCAATACCAGACAGTAGAAT